GGACAGAAGTTTAGACTCTTCAGTTGCTTTGTCAATTTTGACTTCATACTTCCTCGACAATGGACTTCTTGCACTATCAATCTTGCTAATCTCTTCTGGTGTCCTCTTCTTCTATTGGAATATCTTGTAGTTCCTCTTTCGCCATACATGGTATGTTGTAAGAGCCAGACTCAATCTATATATCTCTGCCAGGGAGTTCCTTCCATTATCTTGTACTCTAGCCCATTCGATCTCCTCATTCCATTCCATATAACCTCTTTTGATACCAAACCAATGCAGCATATGCATTGCAGATGTGAAACACTTGAAGAATAGGTGTTGGTGCGGTTCTGGGTCAGCTTCACTTAATGCACACATAGGATCAGTCACCGTGCCCCATCTTATTAACCTACCTTTTAGTATATAGCCTTTCTTGAACTGCTACGAATAGTTTGAATATCCATTTTTGGGCTGGCTTGAGTATTACATATCAGCTTCTTCCAGTTCACTTTAGGAAAATCTCCTCTTAGCAAATTGTACATTCTCCTTATAGAGTAGTCCCCAGCTACCACAACATCTCCTATCCTCAAAGCTGCCTCTTCCAGGTATTTCTAGCATTTAGAATTTTCTAAATAGTCTATGAAGCATGTTTGGCACTACTGTATTGACATCCCTGTCTTTGACTATCACGACCCAATTTCCATCATAGGCCATGATGGCGCCCAACGAAGTCATTCTCACCCAAAGCATTTGGTTGAAAGACTCATTTATCTCTCCCAAACCGGACCATATATAGCTTATTCAGTCAGCTTGGTGAGTCAATATATGTATGATCCTCAGGATTCTCATATGCAAGTTGTTTTTCATATTTTGATATCTGAAGTCTGTTTCAAGAAAAGGTATCATTTTCTCCAACTATGGCCACCTCGAGGTAGAAGCCTATATAAATTCAGATTTCTAAATGACACAAAATCTACATGTGGACTACAAGCTCGTAGGAGGGAACTTAGTTACTTGGAGAAAAAAAGAAGCAAAGAGTAGTTGCTAAATCAAGTGTAGAGGCAGAATCTATAGCTATGGCCCATATTGTTTGTGAACTTTTGTGGTTACCAAAGCTACTAGAAGAATTGAGATTGTCTGAAAAAGAGAAACTTTCCTTGTATTATGATAACAAAGCTCCAATCAGTATAGCTCATATCCTGTTCAACATGGCCGAGCGAAACATATTGAAATTGATCGACACCTCATCAAAGAAAAGATTGCAAATAGTGTCTTGACTTTGCCTCATGTGTCATTAGAGAAATAACTAGCTGATGTGTTTACAAAATGACTTAACAAAAGATCCTTTCACACTGTGGTTTGTAAGTTGGCATGTGTGACATCTCTGCACCAACTTGACGGATAGTGTTAATAAGTTTGAATAACTCTAAGTTTGAATAAGTCTTTGTATTTACTCTGTAGTTTTCAGGCATCTTTCCAGATATTTAGGATTGTATTTGGGATATTATTCTATATATGCCCTTCTAATCAATGTATTACAATATACAAAAATCCAAAAAAGATGCTATTTCTTCTCTCAAAATCTTCCGTTTTCTTATACTTTTTAGTAGTCACACGTTGTAAAAATTCTGAAAACATGGTTCATGTGGTATCATAGCCTATACTCTCCAGCCATTATGTAATAGAGGTAGAATTTGTTACAAGGTTATTGCTAAACTTATCAGGCTTTTTTGTACTCTTAACAATATACATGTAATTTAAAAAAAATATATATTTATATATACATATACGAAATCCAAACTCGATATGTGCACCCACGATTAGTATGCTGGATGAGACCATATTTCAAGAGTCTATTACTCGTCCCTACTTTGACACTGCAGACAAGTTGAATTCCAGGCATATTGATCATGTGAGAACACAAGGCTTCAACTATGGCGGAGTCTCAGAATTGTTTTTGAGTGGACCTCAGTACACGATGAACATTGACATTTGACAGTCAGCTTAAATATGCATTAGTAGATAGAAGTACAAAGGCTTATAACCTATTTGGCCAAGCAACAAAAATCAACTTATTTTGAGAAGTGTTTTTTCTCAAAAGTACTTTTGGTGAGAAGCAGTTTGTGTTTGCCTAATTAATTTGAAAAACACTTTTGATCACCAAATAGTGTTTGACCAAACTTTTAAAAACAACTTATAAGTTTATTATTTTTCAAAAGTGCTTTTGGAGAGAAACTATTTTTTTTTGCTTCTTCAAAACTGCTTCTGTTTCTCCTCAAAAACACTTTTTTCTTCCAAAAGCTTGGCCAAACACTTCAACTTTGAAAAAAAAAATACTTTTTTTGAAAACAAAGTGCTTCTAGGATTGGAGAAGCTTGGCCAAAGAGGCTATTAATTTGATCCTGTCATTGAAAAATTGGCGCAGAGGTGTGTGGCTTTATAGTTTTTTCCTCTCAGATTTGACAATTAGTAAAGGTATTTGCAATAATTCTGTATAATGCCACAGCTTGAGAATCTTGACATTTCAATGAGAAAAGAGTATTTCAAAGGGGTAATCGTAAAGAACAGCCTTGCATCACATTTAAGGGCAAACAACTATGTTCCAAATGACTGATCCCATTTTTCTTATTATCTTTTCTCAGAAAGTACTGAAAGTCTGCATTTTGGAACTGCAAAATCATATCATATATACGTAACAAGAAGCATCATAAAATTTGTTCATAATATATGCAGCTATATATACTGAGATGATCATTTAACCAGCTCTTCCTTCTTCCCAGCCTCTTCAAGTTCTCGAAGCCCCCCAACCTTTTGTTCAATCTCCTCTATCAGTTCCTCGCGCCATAGCTTTGCTCTTGCTTCTTCTTCTATGTCTTCTTGCTGCATCACCACAAAATTAAATTCATAGTGTCACTTTCCTATCCTTCCCCCTCCCTTTGGACCCCTTTTTGTCCTTAAGATTAAGATGGTCTAAAATATACACACATGAGATATTTTGCTGGATAAAGCAGATACCCAACGTTGTATGTTTTATACAAATATTTCACACAAGCCTTGGATTTTGATGTTAGATCTACTGATTGTTTCACTTTAAATTAATGTCTTGGACAAAAGAGACGATGTTTCTTGAACAAAAACTGTGGTTGGTCACTGCAAGTAATTAAGATTGAAGCTTTTTCTGCATTCTTGATAAGAAGTTTGTCATATCAGGATTTGCTGATATAGAGATGACAACTTCATCTTTAGAGAAAATATTTAACCTGTCAACATGAAGATAGTCACAACTTGCTTTCTTATTAACAGCAGGAGCAAATACCTTAGAGATATGCCCTTATTCCTTAATGCATCAATTTGCAGAACATATGTTTATATCATCAAAAGAAGAAGCATTTCCTCATATATTTTCCAAAAGACAATGTACCTTCTCATAAACCCAATGTCCAGTACCATCACCTCCATCTCCTCTGTACTGCTCCGAATCATAGTAGGGATCCTAAAACAAGAGAGACCAACAAATTAAGGTTACAACTTTATCTTATGAATTAATTTTCCAAATTCATAACTATTCGGAAAAGCTTACTTTGGTAGAACCGAAGAAACAGCATCCCCAAACAGTGAACATGATGTAAAATGTATCTAACATAGAAACAATACACAGAGAATTAACTGATAAAATGCCAAACAGATTATAAACAGTGGATATTTAAAGTGGAAAATAAAAAATACTCACAAACATTCTTCATGGCTTCATCACTAAGGTGCCAAACAGATTTGTGAGTTATGAGGTCTCTTTGACCTTCCATATGCTCAACTAATACTGCCATTAATGGCCAATCCGGGAGAGCCTTCACTCTTAAACCAGAATTTCTTTTGCTCTTTCCAGCTTGAATCTAATAATAGTAGTTCCCAAAAAGTAACATTTGTTAAGTGCACCTACTGCATCAAGCATTGTACTATATATAAGTATATAGAATAACAATAACAACTATTCCATCTGTTTCAATTTATGTGAATCTATTTACTTTTTAGTTCGTGCCAAAAAGAATGACCAATTTCTTTATTTGGAAATAATTTACCTTTATGCAATGATTTATAGCCATACAAAATATATGTGCCTCATTTTACGTCACAAGTTCGAAAGTCTTATTTTTTTTTTCTTAAACTCTGTGCTCAATCAAATAGGTTCACATAAATTGAAACAGAGGAAGTTTTATGCTTCAATCACTAGGAATCTTAAGCACATCTTTATCAAATATTATAAAAGGATTAACTTTATTGACATTAGAAGTTGTCTATACTTTCTGCTGGTATATAAATTCAAAGAAAAATAAGAGTGTAGTTATGTATATTGAATGGTGCACCAGCTTTAAATTCTGGATTGATCTTTGTTATGAATATGGAATGGTGAAATGAAACATATACCTGGTGCCTGCCTTTGCCGAAGGCTGAGCTTGAGCATTGCCTAAGCTGCAAATTCAAAACAGAATTAAAAAAAATAAAAAAATAAATGAGCAGAACAAGTAGAAGTGATGGAATTTGAGAGTAGAGTAAAGAGGTGAAATGAAATGCTTAACTGATTTTGTGAAAGGGTGCAAGTCCAATTTAGTAGCGTGGCATTGAACTGTGGGTTTGATGATGGTGAAGCTCATTACAGCTTCAGCCATGAATGGTCGTTGCAATTTTGAGTTTCGGATAATTTACTTGTCTTTCTCCGTTCCTTATAAGTTGTAAGCAGATAAGATATTCTAGTGGTTACATATTTGAATGTTTGTTTCTACGTATAGTAGTATCTGGCCCATTAGCTCAGTTGGTTAGAGCGTCGTGCTAATAACGCGAAGGTCGCAGGTTCGAGACCTGCATGGGCCACTTTTCCTTTTTACTACTCACCTATTTGTTTTTTTATTGTACTTTTAAATTGAACAATAATGTGACAAGTCCCAATACTCTATTGACTCTAATAATTGTAATTAAAAATAAAGGAAATAGGATGAAATACAAATTAACAAAGCAATATTTTGACTTAAAATACCCAAATAATACTCCCAATCACTCTGAAAGAATTAGGACGAATACTTTTTTCTTCGAAAGTTCTAATCTCTGTAGCCAAATATCTTCATAATTAGCAATTAGGTAGTAGTTTCCAATTAGGAGGAAAAACAGAAAGATGAGATTATTTGATCTAGAGAAGCAATTTGCCTTCTACGAAGCATACCACAGCAACCCAGTGAATTTCTTGATTCACATGGTGTTTGTGGGACCAATCTTCTTCACTGCTCTTATTCTCTTCTACTTTACACCCCCGCTTCTGAATTCCACTCCAATTAAGCTATATGAAGATAGTTGTTTCTTGGGCTTGAATCTCGGGTTCTTGTTTACTTTGATTTATGCCTTGTTCTATGTGTGTTTGGACAAGAAAACTGGCTCTTTAGCTGCTTTTCTCTGTTTACTTTATTGGATATCAAGCAGTTTTGTTGCTCATTATCTGGGGTTCTCTCTCGCCTGGAAGGTAACGGATTTCTTTCTTTTTATAATTTCATTCTAATTGTTTATTTGTTATTGGTCCAAATGGAGCAGAATGAATTTTGAGGATTCATATAGATGACTTCAACTATTTTGGGATTGAGTGTGGGTTGTAGTTTATTTTAATTCTCTGGCAACTAAATGAGACGTGTTTATCAACTTGTTAATTTGCGTGATGCATTTTTCTTGGAAATGACTCACAAAATAGCCACGTTTGCAATTGCTATTGGAAAATAAGTCGCAGTTCCAAATCTAATCGAAATTTAACAACTTTTTTATGCGGAAATAATATTTGGACAAAAAGCTATAGAGACTCCTTCATCTTTTCCACTTTTTTCGACAAAGGTTTCACTTGTAGAAGTTTCAACTCCAGGACAGTTCAGTTTTTCGCAACCTAAAAACTCGAGGACATTGTCCTGGAGTTGATGCTGCTGCAGCATCAACATGCTGGACTTCTAGCAACCTTCCTTTTGAGATGAAGTCACAGTTATCCTTACCTGGTTGCTGTGATCCAAAGTCCAGATGTTTATGACTTTCCGATGGCAACACATCCAAATAGATCGTCATTGAATATTTCAAATTTTTTACAGTAGCTAATTATGTGGTTCAATTATAAATTGGCAAAACCAACCAATAGAGGTGTTGATAATCAGCGTTTTACGGCTAGGATGGTCAGACAGATTTGAACAGATTTAATGGAGACCTACAGCATATGACCATTAGTGTGAATTTGTTTTTTCTTCATACTCCAGGATAGCATCTTGGAGTTTTACTTGTAGAAGTAGAAACTCCGTGATAGTGTGTTGGAGTTTTTACTTTTACTTGTATAACCTTGAACTCCATGACACTTACTGGAGATTCGTATCGGCTGATGGTACTGGTGTGATTCTAATCATGGCTCTAGTTACTATACTGAATTTGCTAATCAGTTCCACTAATTTCCGGCGAATGAAATATCATGTCGCCACCATGATTGTGTACAATCCACATTCATATGATGAGGGTTGTTAAATGTCACATGGGATTAGCCTTTCCCAGGCTGCATGCCCTTGTTTCTGTATGTTAACTCCATATCCATATTGGTACACTGGATCTGAACTTCTGTCTCCTTTCTTAACTTGAACTCCTACCAGCATAGTGCTTCTCTTCTGATCCTTGGTCATATACCTTAATAAATTCTGTGGTTTTTACATGGGAGTCAGCAATGCTTAGCGTCTAACTTCAGAACTTCTTTTGCTGTAGCAGTTCTTTGATGTTCATCCCTGCCTTATATCCACTTTTGATGTCTATCTGATATGGACTGATCATAGATATGTAATAGCATGATCCGATGTGTTGGAAATACATCTGCATCAGTTGAATTTATCTTGATGTATGTGAGTGCTTGGTGCTAAACAATAAACATCTTATCAGGTTGTTCTTGTCGCTCAGTTATTCTGTTGGACCGGACTGGTTATAGGCCATGGAGTGTTTGAGGTGACATTTGCGCCATTTTATGATCCTTAAATCTTTGCCTTATATTTTTTTTTGTTTGTATATCATCTTGCTTATTTAATTTTCTAGAAACGAGCACCTGCTCTGTTGGACAATCTTGCGGAAGCATTCCTTATGGAACCTTTCTTTGTACTTTTAGAGGTAAATCTACTAGTTCTGTGTTAAATAGGAAATTCTTTCACTAGATTGATTTAATCTATCTTTTCTCGACTTGCAGGCTCTCCGGACATTTACTGGCTATGAACCATATCCTGGATTTCATGCAAAAGTCAAAGCTACAATAGATGCTGAAATCAAACAATGGCAGGAGAAGAAACACAAGAAAATGTCCTAGGTTTGAATCTGGTGAAGTTGTTACCTTATTTAATTGTCTCTGGCAAAACAAGCTTCCCATTTGACATTCTTGAGAAAAGTGCTATGCTTGGTGCTACACTCGCATTATGAACATCATTTTCCTGCATTGTCTTGAAGGGTTGAAATGCTTTCTCTAATTTGTTTGCCTACAAATCCCCTAGCCTTTGTATTGCAGAGAAAACCTATCTGGGGCTTTACTTTTCTGCAAAAGAAATAGCATAATCCATTGAACTGTGCTTTAAAACAGCACAAAACAGGATGTGCTGGGTAAGCCTGTCTGGAGAAGTAGCACATGAACTGGTAATCTAGTGCGGTAATACTTCTCTTTTAAGATAGGACATCTCTTAGAAGGATAAAAATAGTGTTTCATTTTGCAATGACGAAACATTTGAATTTACAGATCTTTTTTTAATCAAAAGTCCACCATTATGGTGGGGGGTTAGGCTGACCCCGACATGTATATTAGTAACCAAAAGGAGAATATTAGTAACCGACATGTCCAGTACAAAAAACTGCAAGATGTACATGACTAACTGTGTTAGCTATGATGTTGATGTTGAGAATATTCTCATATACACTGTGGCACTGATCATATGATTGGAATTGAAGCAGAACCTCCCTGTAGGTTCTTCATTTTGCATTTCCTGATCCTAAATGCTGTAACTTGTGCTTTATCCATCCGGAAAGCCCCTCTTGCTCATCTAGGCATTTCTTGGACTGACAAAAACATAGTAGTGCTTATAGGTAAAACCTCCAGGCCAGCTCCATACTTGGCTAATGCATCAACCACTGAATTACCCTCCCTAAAACAATGTTGGACGGAGATTTGGTTCTACTTTTTATTTTTTTATTTTTTTATCAGTAGGTCTCACTTTATAGTTAAGCTTGCAGTTTTATTTTATTTTTCTTTTCTTTTTCTTTTGCCATTAGGGGGAATAAAGGCTTACTTCTGAAAACACAAGGAAGTTGGAGCTCTATTGGAATTTGAACATCCAGTTAAGCATGGTGAAAGGGTCAAGAACTAAAGTGAGGTGTCAACCATCACATGTAACGAATGAAAGCAATAAGCCAATTCCCTGTAGGGCCTGTTTGGAAAGCCACTCCGTAATTGGATTTGGGTATAATTGGGTATAATTACTCAATTTTGATATGTTTGTAATTACTTGGTCAGCATGTAATTGATTGTAATTATACTCTGTAACTCTCAAGGGGAGCTGAGAATTGCTGGTAATTATATGGTATAATTACCGGGTTATTTTTTAATCTCTTTTCTTTTGGCCAAATACATATGCAGCCGCTCAAACGTGTTCATATTGAACACTTAAACTTTATAGTAACTACAAGTTGATGACATGGCATCCAGCATGTTCCACACGTCCTTTGAGAGCGTGAACAAGTTTCACTTATCTCTCATCTTTGACCATTACTTTTGAGAATCTCACCTTGTCTCTTTTTTCTGAAATACATGATAAATAGAGGAGAGAGGATGGATATGTCGGACCGACGGGAAAACAAATGGGTCGCCACCGGCGACTTTGAGAGAAAGTAAGTAGTAAAATATCGAGCCTGGCAAATCTGAACTACTACCCTTAAAACCGAGTTCAGTTTTGAACGGCTTTCTCACCGTTAATTCCTTGTGGGAAACTAGATCTCTGGTTAGTGGATTTTTTCAAGAGAGTAAATTCCTTTCTTGCAAATGCAGAGGGTGGTAGCTGGTGTTTATGGTTGTTACCCGTATGGAACCAGTCCTTGTATCCTACTTCGCTACGAAAATGAAAGGTGGTTTCCCTGTGACAACTGAGGAGAGAAACACAATTTTTTTATCTTTCAATTACCATCACCAGAAAGTATGCATTAAAATTGCACAGAATGCTTTTGTTTCTTCTACTTACATTAAGCTTTTTTTTGGCTTTTGTGACATTTATGTTTGTCCAGAGCTTCAGCTATAACTTTATTTAATAATAATTGTCATTTGATTATGAAAAAAGTAAGTCTAAAGATTTAAAGGTGCTGTGATTAATTTATGATTTTCAACATTGACGATGAATAAAGAAACCAGATCCCTTCTTAGTGCCCACTTGAAGTATAGGGTTTTATAATTAGTACCCGCCATTGTTGTCCGTTTTTTTTTTTTTGGGTTATTTTCCACATGTCATTTTCTGATTGGGGTCTTTGCCATGTTACTGCGTTTGACAACCACGCTCCATGTTTTTGTGAGAGTTTGTCCATTAAGGGTCGTTTTGGCGGTATAAATTTAACCCAACATAAAGTATAAATTTAATCTCAGACTTAATCCCGGATATCCTATCTTATCCTAGCTTATCCTATCAAACTTGGAATTATTTTATTCACCGCCCAGGTGGGATAAAATAATCCAGGGATTATAATACCAGGATTATAATCCCGGAATAATATAGTCCGCGTACCAAACGACTCGTAAGGGTTCAATAGATAGTTTCTATGAGGTTCAGGTGTTCAATAGGTTAGACCCTCAGTTAAAGTGTCTAAATGAAAAAATGGGACAAGTTTAAGGGGTTGTTTATGTATTTGGCCTTTTCTTTTTAATTTACTTTTTATTTCTATTCTTTTTTCCTTTTAATTTTTTTAACTTTTTATATATATATTTTTCAAATATTTTTTTTATTTCCTTATTTAGGTTTCATATGATTGATGAGGTGATACTTTGGTTTTCAAAATTATAGTGACAAAGTTTACCCACGACATTAGAAGCATCGAAGAAGTTTATGGAGTTCCACTTGAATCAGTTTCATTTTTGCATGCAACAGAAGTAAAATTATACTCTAATACTGATAGGAGTATAATCTCCAGTAGAATATTGGTAGTTGTTCAAAATGTTTAATGCAACGAAAGAAAAGGACATTGTTATTTTGTTTACCCAAGTGGCTCAAAAGATACAAGATAAAATTACGCAAATTAAAAATTAGAAAGATCTGGACCACTGTTAGCTTACAGGCTCACTGAGATTATTGTCATATATTCTTTCTTTTCACTAGCTTTTAGACTTTAGAGTGTGTTCCATCAAACATATAATCTTTACAACACTAGGCATGTTAAATAAAAAAATTGCTAATATTATGGATTATACATTTCATTATTATTATATTGTAACATTTCATTGTTATTCTATTATTATAACACTTAGTCATTATATTACATTTGACATCAGTAGTTTCACTAATGCCCATCGCGCAGCTACTACATGCAGCAACAAATTAAGCACAGCAATAAGAGTCTATTGATGTTTCCCAACATCCTCTCCGATTTTATTGTACATATTCTGCTTAGTCAGTCTATATCGGCTTTTTTGTGCAATGAAATCTGTACATTTCTTGAATTCACTCGTGCTCTAAAACATTTGAAAGGATTGAAATACCCCAAAGAATAACTTATCCGCAAGTAAAAGATTCGACAATAGCTATTTAGAAGAAATCTTGCACACCAAAAAAAATAAGGAAGCAGAAAGCTTTTTTATTCACTCATTACACTCTCAACCGTCTCAGCTTGTTTAGATAACAACACCCTTATTTTTCCATTCTCAACTGGATTCATGTTTAATTTGTAGTCCACAACTAGAAATGTATACTACAAGTTTGCTAGAGTAGATTACACTACAAAATAAGTTAAGATGGTGTTTAAGATGTATACACATGAAACAAAATAAATACATAAATAAATAAATAAAAGAAGAAGAAGATCAATCAATCTACTTTATCCTTAATTTGATCAAGGCTTAATTCAGAAGATTAGTAGGCCATATATGCTTGTACTTTTGTTTTGTTTAGGCAATGAAAGATTGCGTGGAAAACAAAGCAAACCTAACTTATTAGTTATTAGTATATGATTCCATGATTCAAGGGTCATCTTCCGCCATTAATTCCTTAAACATAGATAACTTTTCCCAAACTAGTCTACAGCAAGCGTAATTAGGGCAGATACGTGCGCAGACAGGGAAACATTGTTTAGAAGTCGACAAGTACAAGCAACTTGATAAATGGCCTCTTTAGGCTAAAAATATGGAGACCATATATAGAGAGATATAGAGAATGGATCCGTGATTGGGTTTAAGTACACTAAAATAAATTTAAAAAAAAGAAAAGAAATACTACTAGTTTTAATTTAATTGTTACAACACCTTAATATTTTTTATAAGTTGCCAATAAATGCTTATTACGTTGAATTATCTGCATTTACATTTTAGATCATCTAGTTACATAAATATTTTTACAATATCACTATCAGTGTATGGAACTTAAAACTAAGATTGGAGTATATACAAAACGTTGGTATGACAACTTATTTTAAAATTTGCTAAAATAATATATATCGAAAGCAATGGGTGCCCCTAAATTCGCCCCCGAGAGAGATCTTGTAACCATCGAAATCACACAAGAAGGTAGAAACAAAACGCCACTAATTCCAAACAAAAAGACTTGATCACCATTCCTTTCATGCCGGTACTTAATTACTGGGCTACCAAATTATTTAGGGAAAATGGCCAAATATACCCCTCTACTTTCATATATTATCTGTATTTAACCTCCGTTATACTATCGGGCCAGATTTATCCTTACTGTTATACTATCGGGCCAAATTTACCCCTACAATCAGCAAACTTTTAAAAATACACCTTGATTTGTTAAGTAATCCAAAATTTGCCAAATTTATTTTATTTAAATCACTTGTTGTTCTTCTTGGTCCACTCTTTTAGAAATAATTAGCATTTATCTACTTTTTGAATTAGAGAAAAAAAAATAAGAGAAAAAAATATTAAATAATACAACCGAATAAACAAAGTATAGTAAATTGAAAAATCTAAATTAGGTAGCTTTTTTAAATTCTAAAAGTATTTACAACATCCCAATTTTAATGAATTTATTGTACCAAATGTATGGAGAGCAAGTATTAGTGATTGAAGTTGAAGTTCCTCGAAGATTTCACATTGTCTAATTCAACTTTGCTTTAATTAAATGCCTACACATTTTGCATTCTTAAGTTAGTCGATCGAACTCTATACTAGCCACTCAGTGACAAAATATATTTGAATATACATGTACATACATGATGATCAGCTGCATATAATACACAATAAATAGACCTACAAAATTCTACTGTTTGTATATGATTGAAAAATAAATAAAATGTTAAACCAATTTTATTTATTACAAAAAGAGAAATGGGTGCATTGGTAATAAAATAATTATGAATTATTTGTATAGTCTACTAACTTTAACATTCACATCAATAGTAATTTTTGAAATTAAAATAGTGGACCAAGAAGAACAACAAGTGATTTAAATAAAAGTAGTTTGGGAGATTTTGGATTACTTAACAGATCAAGGAGTATTTTAAAAGTTTGTTGGTTGTATGGGTAAATTTGGCCCGATAGTATAATGGTAGGGGTAAATTTGGCTCGATAGTATAACGGATGTTAAATGCAGACAATATATGAAAGTAAAAAGATATATTTGACTATTTTCTCTATTATTTATATTCAAGCCTAATAAAAAATATTATGTGATTTCTTCTCACTTGTTTGAATTTTAGCGGATAAAATTACACGGTATTTGTGGTTGTGAGAGGTAATAGCTCCCCCCTGTTTACTGCAGCTATATAAAGAAAAGGTGACAGCTTCCGGATCTTGCTGGGTTTTGACCGGCTTTTGCGATAAACTTGTGACATCTTAATTTGCTCCATTAGTTGTGGTTTAACCAAAAATTCAGGTTCTGGTTCTTTCTCATATAACCTGTTTTAGGGTGGGTTTTTGTTGAATTGGTCAATCATAAGAGATAAGCAAGGAAAATTAATTAGTATCCCGCACTAATCGGGAATGGTGCCAACACATGGAAGCAACCTAATATTCAACCACTTTATCGGTCAAAATCTGCACTAGAATATTTAAGATAAGATAATACTAATAAAAGAATTCTCGAGCCATCGTTAGTTGAGGTGGACCAGGAAGCAGCAAAACTCATAGTCGAAGAGTCGACGAGAGCCATGGTCGAGATGTCAATAATGGTCGAGGTCGAACACCGTTGATATGCTATAATGACTAGTTTTCGAAATAGAATAATAAAGAGAATATTCTAGTGAATATTCTCTATATTTGTACTATTAGAGTTTACTAGGAATATGTTTCATATAAATAGAAAAAGAGACAATGATATAAGACATGTGATATTCATTTGTAAGAACACACTTTGACAAAAAGATTCTCTCTCTCTCTCTTACTAAGATACAAACACCACCTTTTACTAAGATTCGTGTCT